TGAAATAGAAATAGAAATGGAAAGGAAAGAACATAGAAGCCCAGCCAAAATAGCTCGTTCCCAAGCAGAATCGACGGGAAGGTCGAAGTTGTGAAGTGGTAATGTGCGGCCATAGGTAGACTGAAGCATTCCTTGTAAAATAGGGAACATGCAAACCAAACGAAATTTGAATCGTATAAGTATGGTCAGTTGTAACGTCCTGAAAAACATCGTTGACCAGCAGGGCCGACCAAAATAGGTTTTTTAAACAGGTGCTCATCATAGGAAAATCATTCAAAAAGCTTGGATTATATGATGAAATTAGAAAACTATAAAATACCGAAGTGTTTCTTGAAAAATAAAAGTTATGGTGGCTGCGTTCGCTCTTCGTTGACGAGTTACATAGAGGATCCGACAGAATACATTGATCGGTTTCGACCTTGCTGCTTCAAGTTTAGTGCAAAAACGCATGATCGCACCGGCAAACCTGGTGTGTTCCAGCCTGAGTTGCATTTGTATAAACGTGCAAAAACGTACCAAAAATAAGGTGCGCAACCACCTTCTGTTTCAAGAACAGGGCAATTGTAAGTAAATATATTTCTCCTGAGGGCGACGGAATTACAAATCCAGTTACATTGCTAATTGCTTAAAAGTAAATCCTCCTCCCACTTCTCTTTTATCTCCACATCGTTTTCTTGCTCTTTTTCTTTTCATTTCTGTGTTCCTCTGCTACTTGGGCACATGCTTTGCATATACACAACGAGTAGGAAATTGTGCTACTCCCACTCGCATGTGGCATTCGGTCTGCGTTTGTAGCTAAGGGATGAGACACAGACTACATTTTTTTTTAAAATATTTCTTCTTTCACTTCTTACTTGGTCTGATCTCTTATATGTCCTTGTTTGAATCACTGCACATGTTTACTGAAACATTCTCGTAACAAACATACAAAACTATACGTTTGGCGTAATCAAGCGCGTGATATGTTATGTCCTATTTAATAAATAAGTATATTTTAATGTAAAATTAATGTAAACTAAGATGAAAAGACAGAATTTTATGCGAGACAGTGACCGGGATAATTGCCAGCTCTTATTTACTGAGGTGTAACCCAAGCGTGATTTCCTGAGAGGGGCGGGGGG